GTTGTTGTGCCATGCAAACCCAGCATGCTTCCTGTAGGGTGGTCTATTTTTCCATGAACAAGTCATGCTGAGAACCCATGGCTTGCCTTTGGGTTGTTGGTACTTATGGTAGCTTGTTGTGTTGTCCGAACTGGGTAGGGTGATTTTTATTGTGGGCTACTAGGAACAAATAGAAAGCCGCCTGGCCAGAGTGGCAAAGGGCAGTCTTGTTCAGGCCTTCAGCATCCTGCCTCCACCCTTCCCACTGCCTTTTACCCTGTTGCCCTGAAAAACACAAATATCACGATGTATCAGGTAGCAATGGATAGGGGTTGAGGGGGCGTCATATAGCAGATATCAGTAGCATACTCCCCACAGTCCTGCCGGTTCAGTTCTGCTCTTCCAACATCATCCCGGACATGGTGGGAAGGATAGAACACCTGTCCGCAGAGCTGCTTTGACCTTTTGATGGCTGTGATCAGATAGAGCCCCTTGGCCCAAGCAGAACTCCCTTTCTTGTTGCCCTTACAGAGGGTCTCTGTAGCCTTTCGTGTTGACCATGACTTGGTGTGCCGCAATAACTCATTCAGTGACGTTTCCTTTTACTGGTGTGTGGCAGTTTGGTTACGATATATTGAAATAGCTCAAATAGTATCCAGAGTTACACGTGGAAACAATGTAAAGGAATCTCTGGGAGAGATGGCATGTTTATATATTTATTTATTTAAAACATTTTTATGCCGCCCCCATCGCAACGAAGCCTCGGGGCGGCTCACAACAGAAACAAGCAAAGAGTGCTCCGTATATGTGTGTGTGAGTGCGCGTGCACACGTGGTGATGTTGGGGGAGAGAGAATGAGAGAGAAATCTATAAGGACTATGAAGTGGAAGGGTTGATTATGTACCTTTCACTGCTGTTTTCAAATAAAAAAGCAGACAGCTCCCTACATATGTCACATCCTGTGCAGTTAGACCTAAGTAATGTAAAATATGTCTAACCTGAATCAATACGAAAACATAATACAGAGGAATGGAAGATCTCTGAAAATGTATCTGTGTGTTCTTTTTTAAAATAATGACCAAATATGTACTGCTCTAAACCTGACTGCTGAAACAATCAAACATATTTGCTGCTGGTTCTTGTTTACATTTACATTTTTGTTTAAACCGTTGGCATTTAACTACCAAGGGAATGGAATATTTGGTTGTCTATAACATTTGTCAAGCAAAGAAGTATAATTTAAATACCAGTCAAGATATCGCACTCAAATAACTGAATTATTAGAATTTTCTTGCATGTTAGTAGAATAGACTTCCCTAAACAATACTGCTCATTTCTTCATCTTTTGTGTATTTGAAGAAAGTACTACTGTTTTTTGACTTCAGTTTCGTAGGTCTCCTTAAAGTTTTGTGTAGAAAACTTTGTATGACTTCCACATTTAGAAAAGCAGAAAGGTCTGCAGTGAGTGACAGCTCCAGTTAAGACTGTTTTCCTTCTACATTGAAAATTATACAGTGGGAAAGATTTTAAAAAGCACAAGAAGATTATTTCAATACTCGGTCTTTTAAGCACATGTATCGAGCTCTGAGAAGGTCATTTTGAAAATGCAGCCCAGGTTGTTTTCAGTCTCTGTGTAATGGTGGCCAAATCTACCTTCCTCATATGCAGCTTTTAACAAAGTTAGATGTATAAGAACAGACTGTATAAGAACATTCTGGCTGGAGTTTTGCCTGAGAATTCAGGAGCCTGTATGGGTCACTCAAAGCTGTGAACTTGATACTTGAGGAGCTCAACTGCATCCAAAACAGGCTGCACACCTAGTCTCAGGTTAACTTTCTTAATACCTGAAATCACCTCTTCTTTTGCATTAGACTGAGTCCATCTTGCTCCTTGGAATCCATCACTGTCTGCAAACATTGATTCAGAATCCTCACTGCCTTTCTAGACTGGGATGGAAAGCAGAAAATTGGTTGTTATCAGCTTGTTGAGATAACTTGCACTCTCCAGGTGGTTTTATGTAGATACTGAATAGCATAAGGGGCATGACAGCATCCTGTGGAAATCCTAAGGTAATGTCTTTCTCAGCAGCATCTTCTGGATTCTGCCTTCCCAGCAGGACTTTAACAAAATGATATTGCCCAGTTTTATCCCAGCAAGGTAGCTCACGAGAATATTGTGGTGAATATCCCAAACGTCTTTTAGCTGTCCTGCCTAGAATAGTCTCCCCCAACTTGATACAGATGTTTTAAATGATAGCATCCATCCTCCCTAGCTATTGACCATGCTGGTTGAACTGATGGAAATTGTAGTCCAGTAATACTTGGAGGGTACCAATCTGGGAAGAGTGGTTTCAGTCCCAGAAGGAAGCTGAAACCCAGACTAAAAGAGGGACTGTATGCTTTCATACAGAAATCCCTAGATTTGGGTTGATACCCAGTGGAGCACCTTTTCCTCCATTTGATAAACTTGGCACAAGCATGGTGTCCAAAGCAGGTTTCTTCAGTGAGGTTCTAACAGCCACTTTCATTAACCACCCCCCCCCAGATGATTTTGTACTCCAGCTCCCAGTATCTCTGACCATTGGTGATATTGGCTTGGGCTGATGAGAACTGGAGTTTTGCAACATATACATCAGGCATATTCCACCTTTTTTTGACTCAAGGGTACATTTAGGAATTGGAGAAAACAGATGCCGGGTCCACCATGGAATGACTGATGAGTAGATTGCTGCTTTGGCATCTGTGATTTGTGTCTATGGATCTTAGGTTGTGTTGACAAAAACTTGACTTTTGCATCTATAGAACAGGATGGTGTTGCTTTAATAAGGACTGTCTAATTCAGGTAACTGCTGGTGGTGCAATGCAGCTAATATGTTTTAGCAATATCCATTAGTTGTTTCTTTTTTGGTGGGGGGAGGTTATGCACAGATAAATTAATATTCATTGATGCATGTGCTCTTTCAAATTATTTGCACGCTTCGTGGAAATTAACAGATGGAAGAGAAGATGGATTCTCTGTACTTTTTGACAGAGAAAAGATTGATAATGCAAAGCTGGAAGGATAAACATTCGCCTCCGCAATGCATGGATTGATAATCTTACAATACTTTCAATATTTGAATGGATGACTTAAAGACATCACCTCCAAATAGATGCTTATTTGGATATTTGGTATGCTTTTGTGGAAGCCTCTGTATAATATCTATAAAGCTGTATGCATTCCATACAAATCCATCTATGTATATTAAAATGGGAAGAGGATATTTTTTCCACAGGCCCATAGTTACTCTGTTGAGCACTGTTGGAAGTGTCTATGGGCACTGCATTGGTCACTCCTGATCTAGATGCCCGGTTTCCCTGTTCTTTCCTTAGAGCAGACACAACATTATATCAATATGGCAAGTCTCTTTTAATCATCCAGGACTGGCAAGCTTCATGAGAGCAATTGGTTGACCTTCAAAGATTCCATCCTGATCCTGAGGCTGCATAAGCTGAATAATACTCACAACCAGACAGGTAGTCCCTAGGACTTCTTTTCAGAGTAAAGTCCAAATTAGAATTGATGTGACTGACTTTATTCACAAAGTACTTGGCAAACTTGTCACAGTGGACCTATTCATCTGTCTCTGCAGGTAGACAATCGTAATAGGTCCCCCACCTGTGCAGAGGATAGATGTTTCAGTGAAGTTATAAAAGGAGTTATATAAAACGTCCCCTATTACAAATTACCCACATTGACCTGATCCAAATGCCAAATTCGATGGTATGTCCATTTTGACGTGTTAGGCCAGGTGGCTGAGATACCTTCAGGGTTGTGCTGGAGAGTATGACATATGTGCTGCTCCTGCCAAGCACCCACGGATACTAAAATCCCCAGGAACATTTACTGTGGGAATGGGGTGTATTCCCTTCTATTTTATAGGAATGCCCCTCTTAGTTACGGCAGAGAACCTATATTTGATTCATGCAGATCTTACAACTCCTGCACATTTTAGTGATGGATTCTTAAATTAGGACTGCTTCCTTTCTCCTAAAATTGCCAGGTGGCATGCAGTGTTTTCTGTACATTATAAAAGAAGAAACTAATTGCAAAATGTGGGTTAATTTGGAGAACAAGTTGACAAGCGAAAAGAAATAATCTCATTCAGACCTGTTCTATTCATAAGGTCTTTTAGTCACTAGAAACTGCTAACTGGCTATGAATGACAGCAAGGAGAGCTAATTTAATTAGATTTCAGTATATTTTCCACATTCAGATTGCTTTGCTCACAGGATAATCATGGGACGGTCACTTTTGGACCATTCCTGCCTCCCCATTTCTATATCCATTCAGGATGGAGGTTGGAACGTGCCTTCCAGTTCTGCCCCACTGCTCACACATTTAGCATTGGAGTGAAGGTGATGTACGCACATAATATTCCTGCATGGGATTGGTAATCCAGTTAGGGTTCCTTTTATTCAAATTTTTTATTATTTTCTCTACAAGTTTAAACTAAAACAGCAATTATTCCCAAGATCATATGGAGGAACGGTGTTTGCAAGCCTCGCTTTTCCCAGTAATGCTAAATGTGTGCCAGGCCAGGACGCAGCTAGCGGGTGTTATCATGCCCTTTGGTGATGTGCCTGTTACATAGTAGATGTTGCTTTATCCAGCCTGATGTATGTCATAGGATGGTTGCAAGGAACACATGGGAGAGCCACCTCCTTATAAGGTCGAGGTTCTTGAAGGAAGAGTGGGAGACAAACACAGCGAATATATTACTGAAGCCATGACCTCGTCACCAAGTGCTGGAAACAGAAAACCTGCTTCCCAAACTCCCATTCTGGAGTTGCATCGATCTGATTCTAGCCTTGTATGTTAATAAGCTATGAACTTGATGGTCAGAATTTACAGTAAAAATAAAAACACCCCGTGGCTTCTGAGCATCAGGCTCCAAAAATATAACGACACTACTGTCTGTGTGTGATAAGAACAATGTTGAATGGTTAAAGATATTTTGCTTTCAACATCTTTTGTTACAGCGGTCATGTCCAGAAGCCAAGAAGGACCTGGAGAGATGGGAAAGGCAGTCCTCATCCCCAAGGATGATCAGGAAAAAATGAAAGAGCTGTTTAAAATCAACCAGTTTAACCTTATGGCCAGTGACATGATTGCATTCAATAGAAGTTTGCCTGATGTAAGACTAGAGGGGTGAGTTCACTCGTTTGTCTTGACTTTGCAATGTGTCACATTGACTTTGCTAACATTTGTATAGCGTGGCCAAATTAATATCTAGCAGCACACCTCCTATGCTATTTTATATACCTGTCTCTTTTGTCAATTTATTTCTTCTGCAATTTCCTAATTAATTGGGCTTTATGACTAACAAGTAGTTTCCCATACTCTTTTACAAACAATGGAAAATTTTGCATCTGGTGCAAATTCCTTATTCTCCTTGAAAATAAATGTTGATGTCTCCTGATCAGGTCAGCAGTATCTGCTTTCAAGATAATGACTTGTCAAACTGTGTGAAAAGCTGCAGTTTCTTCCTGGCTTAGGCACTGGATCCACTTCAGGTTCCAATCTTAAACACACTTACATAGGAATACATTCCACTGAATGCAGAGAGACTCACTCCTCAACTGTGCTGACAGTGAAACCTAAAGTAAACCCTTTCTGCTGTATGAAAGCACTAGCAGCTTTCTTGCTCAGGAGGGAGCATGTTAACACTTGCTTGGCTGGATTAGGCGACTAGAACAGAGGTAGGTTGAAGACCAAAGTCCAGTTTCAAGCTATCGAATGAGGGCTATAGAAGACGAGTGGTTGCATAGTGCTGAGTTCAGGCACTGTGATGGACAGGAAGGTGGGTGTGCTCATTTGGAACAGACACGGTGAGAACAGAGCGGGGATGATAGTGAGATCACAGGGTATGTTTGCTGGCTACCTAAGAATGGGATGTGTTTATTCCTTTGCTTAGGTTTCAGAAATTAACTGGACCAGTTGATACCCAAAGACCATATACAATCCATATGTACATTTGCAAGAGTAATAGGCACACTTACAAATTGTACTGGATTTGCAGTATGTTGCTGCACATCCTCATTTACATGTACATGCGAATGTGCATTTATACATACACACATATGCATGATATGCACATAATGTCAAAATGACTAAGGGGACCCAGCCAGTCAAACTTTTTATTCAAAGTATCGAGCTTGTACCCTTTACACAATTCCACAATAGAGTTGTCGGCTTAACAGCAAACTCCACTATAGACCTAGATTCTTCTGAGCAAGCTTGCTCAGAAGCTTTCCTTGAAGAATCCAGGTCCTTATACTTTTTTTATACCTTATATATTTATCCCTTGTGCTACTTTTTATAAACCACTTCCTGAAGTTGAGAATACAACTCATTACCATCATCAAGTAAGAGGTTAAAAACTTAAAGTCAAATTCCCCTGCAAAAAAACTAGGAAGATATTTCATGAAGTCCACCCTCTGCATTCACCAGTTCTCCGCTCTCTTTTCAAAAGTCGAGGGAAACTGCTGTGGCTCTTCTCTGGCTGCAAAGCAGGCAAAGCTCCTTATGTTGTTCAGCCTTGACCTCATGCTCTGGAAGCTCTGTTTGCCCCATTTGTTTGTCACGATCCTCCAACTCCCACTGTAAACTCTTTGCCTGTGTCTCCATCTCTTTCTGCAGCTGCCTGTCCTTTTGCTGGATTTATTTTGGACTTAACTATATAGCACTGGGTCATACTTTGTCAGCGTTGCATCAGCACTTTTAATATGTATAACTCTTAAATCTTTTATTAGTCGCCCCCCCCTTTCCTTTCTCCTCCCTTTTCTTCTTTTTGGGAAGCATGGATAAATGCTTCTTTGTGCTCCTTAAATAGTCTGCCATTTCTGTCTTCAGTTTAGGTGTTGGCTTTAAAAACACAAGCTCCTTCTTTTCTCTTTCTGAAGCCACAGCTTAAAATATCTTTCTGCCTTGTATGGTTCCAGTAGCTTCAGGCCCACCTGCAGTGCCACCACATTGGAGGGATTTCATCTCACCACAATTGCCATCATTTATAGGCAGACTGTTTTTTTACTGGGCGACCTACCTATGGTGTTTCTTATTTTTAGCAAATGCTTATATTTCTGACCTAAGGAACTCTCTACCCATATAACTCGGAGTTCTACATATTGACCCTTTCCTGTTGCCAGCAATTTTGTTAGAATACTTTAAATCCTTTTAATAGCTGGTATAAGAGGCTTAAGCAAGTGATGAGTGCCAACCCTGGAGGCATATTATTAAAGTGGTATTTTTGGTATTTCCGAAAGACAGTTTAGTGGCAGTTCTTTCAAACTCGAGGGATACTGCTGATGTACAAATCAATAGGCATAACTTTCACAGGTAAAATCATACAATCATAGACATATAGCTGGAGCAGAGAAAAACCCTTCTTTCTAGAAATCAGCATGTGTGCATGCTTGAAATGTAGCTGACACTAACCAGGCAATAGTTCAGAGAAAGCTACATGGCACTTGACAGATAACAACAGCTCATCCAAGGGCACTTTGCACCAACCCACGCCATCGTCCTCCTCTTCTGTGCAATAGCACCCCATCCTTCCCCTTCTTTGGAGCATCTTCTTTGGCATGCAGGCAGGAAAGATCATACCATTGTAACTTTATATTTCTGCAACCTGTTGGAAAGTGTTAACTGTGTTTTGCGTAACCCTTTAATGATCTAGGCATAAAAGGGCCAACTAAGGATTGTTTTGGTTTCCTGGCACAACACAGCCACCTGCTTTCTGTTCCTGATTCTTACCAGCCTCCTACTGTCATATTACATTAAAATAATAGCTTATTTCCTCAGCTTTCTCTTAAATCTTTTGAAACACCACCCAGCAACCAACAGACCTTCTTCCTCTTTCTTCAAACTAGCTCTGACTTCCACAACTGTCAGTTTTCGTAACTGTAATTTCCCACATGCTCTTTTCATCCATGGCCAATCAGAATTGAATTTGCTCAAACCAGTCTCCATCTAACAATATTCAGAACACTTCTCTGTTTCTTCTCATATACGCTGTAGCTCTACAGGAGCCGCATAAAGTTATTGTTACATCACATCACAGTTATGTACAGATGTTTCTTCAGAGTTTCTCAGCTTTAACTCTGAATCTGTAAATGGGATAAAAGCCTCAAGCCACTTAGGCACTCTTAAATACTAAATTACTACGAAATGGTTGAAAAAATAGTATATCAGAATGGCTCTATTAGGCTCTTTATCTGTTGGTATTCATGGCAATGATGAGAATTTGAATAGAAGTTTAACCAGTATTAAGTAGAACTTGGTTGGGGAGCCTTGGAAATGGGGCTTTTTCTGTGAACTTTTGGTAAAATTAAATAATGGTCATGCTGAACTTGAGATTGTAATAGCTACTTTCCAATGGTTTATGGCCCCTGTTTTACCACCTCCTTGGACTTAAAGAAGCCAATTTAAACATAATTGCAAATTACGTGCATGACCTCATGTTCTGCCAGTATATGTAATCTGACTATGGATTGAATGGCTGATTTCTCTCTGGTTATAAAAGGCAGATGGATCTCTCTCTCAACAAACAAGGCAACAAACTGGCACAAAAATGAAATGAAGGGACCCTTTGCCCTGGAAAGATGGGCTGTGTGGGAGTGGAGGATTATGCTATGAAAAAGTCATGAGGAATGATGTTATAAATCCAGGTTAGTGTTGGAGCTGAGATCCACAAAAATGAGGACTGTCTAAATAAAAAGAGAAAACAGCTGCTGCCCTAACTCCAAGAGAGTTCTAGCAGGGATCTTCAACCTTTTTAGACCTGTGGGCAGTTTTGGCAATTTGGGAAACTTCTGTGTTCACCATTCAAAATGGTTTCAATGGAGGATGTGGCTAGCGATGAATGGCTGCTGCGTGAATTAAACATGAATTAAAGAAGGGGCGGGGGAAGAGGAATGGGGAGGCAAAAGGGAGGGGAAAATAGCAACGCAAAGGGAAAGTGCAATGCTAGAGACCAGAAAGAGGGAGAGAGGAGAAGCCCAGTGATGTGGGAGGGAGAAAAATAGTGAAGAAAGGGACTCTGGGGAGAGACATAATGGGGGGAAAAACTGGGACCAGGGGAGAGCGAGAGAGTAAAAGGGGAAAGTTCTGAATGGAAGAAGATCTCTTTCTTCCTGTAGCGGGTGCAGGAACAAGAAAGTGAACCTGGCAGCGGTGTGATGTACAAGTTAACACTTATAACTTTCATAGGTAGAATCATGCAATCATTGACACATAGCCAGGCCAGAGAAAAACCCTCCTTTCTAGAAATCAGCATGTGTGCATCCTTGGTGTGCAGCTGGCACTAACCAGGCACAGAGAAAGCCAGTTGGTACTTTGCCGATAACAACAGCTCAAAGAAAGGGCATTTCACACCATCCCATCCCATCCTCCTCCCCAACTTCCTTGGAGCATCTTCTTTCTGCTTTGGGTTACAGGCAAGAAAGGTCATACCATTGTAACTTTTCACTTCTGTAACCTGTTATAAAGTGTTAACTGTATTTGGGCATACATACACCGGGACACAGGCCATTTGATCAACAGCAGTGTTTTTCAGGGTTTTATTAAAAATAAATGTATGTTGGAGTAGGAACTGGAAGTGCTTAAATTTAACAGGCTAGGAGTGGCTTCACAGTTTAGTATTCCAAATTAAAGGTCCAGGTGATATCTGGATCCACCAACCTGTTGAGAAGGTGGAGATATTTCAGAATTGGGCCAAATGTTTTTCTAGGGGTCCAGATTCACCAGTATAAAGCAACCCTCATGGTTTTATCTGCTAGTAGCTAGCATGCAACCAAGCAGGTCTGTTTCCTTAGATGTAGCTAGCAGATCTCTTTAATTTAATCAGTGAAAGTAGCACTGTATGGGCTGGCTCTTCTCCTCTGCGCCTGTTCAGAGTCTTATGAGTGAAACTGGTAGGTGTCTATACTGTTCTTCCAGATTTATAATGAATCTTGAGCCAAGGTATAAGGGTAATACCCAGCTAACTTTGGCTGTTGGGTGCTTTTAAAATATAGTAAATAAAATGAAAATGAAGTGAGTGGTGCACAAATACATGTGATCAGATTCAGCATGTCCTAGTTCCTCTGTAGCAAGTATTCTGAATCTTTAGGATTCTTGTGACTTCAGTTTCAAGGTACCCTTTATCTCCT